GCTGTGCCTTTGAGCCCCAGCCAGAGAGGGGAACAGCCCTGAGTCTGTTTTACCAAAGCCTGGCCTAAACCCGTGGGTGGCACAGCTCTGGGCTGGGCAGCTCTGGCTCAGCTCCTGTGCTGCAGATCCCTGGGTGCCAGCCTGGAAACATGAGAGGAAATGAGGAAAAACCATCCTGGGAAGGAGCTGAGCTCAGGACCCCTGCCCTGGGCAGGTTGGTTTCACCTCTGGGGTTGACAGGAAGGGTTTGCAAACCACTGCAGGCTCTTCTCACCTCTTTGGACAGCTCTGAATAAAGAATTCTCCTTCTTTTTCCTTTTTTTTTTTTTTTTTTTTTTTTTTTTTGATAGGGAATTAATAATCAGAAATGATGTTGCCTCACCTAGCAGGTAAAGGATTTGGGAAATTGGTTTTGCATCTCACAGAAGCCGCAGGCAGCAGAGCCCCTGCTCACACAGAGCCCAGGCAGCTCAGGGGACAAAGCCACAGCAGCAGCCTGAGGTCCCCACAGGGTCCCCACAGGGTCCCCAAAGGCCAGGGGTGGGCAGGGGGAGATCTCTCTGCAGGTTTATTTTGGTTTTCTGCCCAACCCAAGTGGAACTGGCTGCGTGCTGCCATGGAAACAGCAGCAGGGTTTGCAGCCATCTCCAGGGAGCAATGCTGGGCCTGGCTGGGGAAAATCAGCCCAGAGCATCCCCTGGTGCTGGGGGCCGAGGGAGCCACGCTCAGCCAGGGCAGGCCCTTTGTCACAGGGCTGAGGGGACACAAACACCACACACAGCACCGGGGAGGTCTGCATGGAGCAGAGCTGGTGTCAAAAAAGCAGTGTGGAAACTGCTTTGTTAGGTGCCAGCAGGGAGGACACTTCAGGGGGATCTGCAAGGGTTAACCTGGCAGCAAACATCTCATTCAGCCCAGCAGAGAGCAGAAAAATTACTCGGCTTTAATCTACTTTGTCTCCAGAAATATTCCATAAAAGAGGGGGGAAATAAATTCAGGGGGGGCCTCGTGGGCATCCTGAGAGCAGAAAAAGAGGTGAAATGAATCCTATCAATAATCCATGATGAATGATTCACTCGGCTCTCTTATTCACAGCCACATCAGCTATCTGCATTCACAGGGAATTACACACAGCCTCATCTGCACGGGAATCCAGAATCATCCCTGTGCTGCCAGGGGAGGGAAGGAGCTCTGCAGGGCAGAAGGACAAACACCCAAACACCCCTCAGCCCTGGGGGGGTGGCAGGAGAGGGATTTCTGCTTTCCTCTTCTTTTCCTTCCAAAACTTCCTTGCTGGAGCACAGAAACAAGTGCAGATTGTTCGTTAGAAATAGGATTTTAGAAAGAAAACAAAAACAGTTAAAAGGATGGGAAGTTCCGTCACACTTGTGTGGCCTACAGAGAGAGATTGAGAGGACTCAGAGAGCTCTCCCAGGAGGAGTCTCCTCCTTCCATTTCTGAGGGATTGTTCAGGAATTAGAAATAGGATTTTAGAAAGGAAAAAAAAACAAACAGTTAAAAGGATGGGAAGTTCTGTCACACTTGTGTGGCCTACAGAGAGAGATTGAGAGGACTCAGAGAGCTCTCCCAGGAGGAGTCTCCTCCTTCCATTTCTGAGGGATTGTTCAGGAGTTTCCAGCCTAGGGATTGTAAAGGTGAATTTGCCTCCAGCTCTGGCTCTCCAGGTGATGCTGACATCGTTGTCCCTTGTTCCACCTTTGGTCCTGAGGTAACAAATTTCTCCAGGGGTCACTCTGAGAGTCTTTCAAAATAATTCCGTGCCCCTGCAATGACAGCTGAGCCAACAATGTCTGTTGTGAGCAGCGATTTTACACTGCTGAAAGTGACCCCGATGTTCTGCTGTAAAGCTGAAAGCCAGACCTGCCTTGAGCAGGGATTTAGGTTTGTGTCTGCAGGCAGAGCCGTAAATGACCTGTGGGGTCGGGTCAGGTGCTCTGCAGCCAGGGAGGGCAGGGCTGGATTATTGAAAACCTGTCGGTTTGGGAATCACCAGGGTGACCTTCCTCTCCCTGGCCATTCAGTTTGGAGCTGGTCCCCACCTCGGCTTGGCTGAGGAGTGTGGGAATGTGCATTCCTGGCAATCCCGAGAGTTCTGGGCGTGAATGATGTGAGGAGAGGAGGTGGTGACAACAGAGAGACAAAATTCCGTGTAAGGACAAGCATCAACCCAGCTGGTGCTGGAAATCAGCTGCAGAGCAGAATTTTTTCTCCTGCCTCTCCTCTGATGTCTCTCAGAAAATCCAAGCCTGGGGAATCCCAGGAATTCAGCTGCTGCATCCCGATTTTCCAGCCTAGCTCTGGGTGCCAATTGCCGCTGCATCCCAGGATTAGCGGGGGATCCTCGGAGAGGGAGGGCAAAGCTTGCATTTCAAAAGGAACAGAAGGAAACTTCTTCCCCGGGGGAGTGGGAGGCTGCGTGATCCAGCAGTGGGCAAAACCCTCGGAAAATCAATGTATTTTGTCTCCCTTCTGGATAAAATCCCCCCTACGTGGGCAAGGAGAGCAGGGCTGCTCAGAGGAGCCCACCCAGGGCTGCTCTCCCTGTTTTTCTGCGTTCCTGTCCCTCCCTGCTCCTGGGGGGCAGCGATGGAGCTGCACCTGCAGCAGCAGCAGAGGATTCCTCTGCAGAGTGGCTGTGATTCAGTCCCGATGAATCACTCAGCCACTCTCCTTCTCAACCAGATCTTGGGATTCATCATTGCTACAGCAGGAGGAGGGGAGGAAAAACAGGGGAAAAAAAACCCAAAAACCTCCCAAGCTCCAGTGCTTTATCTCCCTCTCTAATACTTTCTAATTTTCCTGTTTCAAAATTTAAATCCTTTTTTTTTTTTTTAGGCATGCCATTGAGGTGGAATAAACTTTTGCCAGTCCTGGAGAGGAAGCTGCACTGAGAGGGGGTGGGATGGACCCTGGGGACAGCACTGGGGTCAGCATGGTTCACACCAGCCAGGGGTGGAGGGGCTTGGGCTCTGCCTTCTCCAGGCCCCAAACCCTCCCCTGAGCAGCTTCACCCCTGCCCAGGGCCCTCAGCCCACCCAGGCATTGACAGGAGAGCACACAAACCCACTCTGCCCCAGTTCTCCCCCTCCTGCAAACTCGGCGTGGGCTCAGCTCAGGGCTCCACACTCTCATTTTTCCCTTTTGTGCCATTTTTTCCCTTTAGGGCTGGGAACTCCTTGGGAGGCAGGTGAGGAGCTGCTCTGAGCACTCAGGTCTCACCAGGAAGAATTGTTTGCTCCATGAAGAATTTGTACATCAGTTCAGCATTAAAGCTAGGGGCTGCACTAGTGAGTAGCTACCACTGGTGTCTACCATGAGTAAATAGGAATAATGTCACATCAGTACCATGGAGAGGAAAACACAGGCAAACCCAAATTGTTTCAGGAACTCTTTAAGAGCTCCACCCAGACCAGCTTCATTTACTTTGGTTTTGGTCCTTTGAATCTGAGAAAATCCACACTGTGACAGGGTGTTTCTTCATGGATTGGATGGGGTTTACTTTTGTTAATGTTATTCTTTCTCTGTCTTTCAGTTTCTATAGTGATGGACAAACACATGCAGCACACACTCCTGGGTGGTGTTTGCCTGCACTGCCCTGAAAATAACACCAAATTTTTGAGAAATCCATTGAAAAATCTTTGCCAAAACCCCCCAGATCTTAAAAAACGAGTCCTATCAAACAAATTGATAACGTGTTTAATACACATTTACTTTTTTGATGTATTTTGTCAGCAAGCAGCAGGTATTGCACTTGTGTGGGTGCTCTGGTTTCTCCTGCATCCACACACAAGTGGAGATGTCCCTTTTCCAGGGGAAGGACCTCAGCTGTGGTTAAAGGGCACGGAAATGCTCTAAAAAAAAATAAATTACATCTCTGACCCTGAGTGTGCTCTGGATCTCGCTGTGAACGCAGTGACCCAGTGATGTCTGAGAAACCCCAGCCCTGCAGTGACTGTACAAAGGCCCTGCAGCCTGAACCCCCAAACCCCGCAGTGCAGCTCCAGTGAAAGGTGAAGGTGCCACACCTGGAGAAGGAGCTGCCCAGGTCCTGGCTTGATGCTGGGGTTATTTCAATGGGGATTTCAAAAGCTCAGCTGATGAGCTCTTTGTGGTGTCCTGCTCTGCCAAGACGGAGCTTTGTTAAGGGTGTCAGGGCCAGATTTCAGCTGCCAAAGCTCCGATAATGTCTGAGGAGCTGGACTGATGCTGCAGTGAAATACCGTGCACTCGTGCTTGGAAATAGCGCCCATTTTCTGTTTGTTTTGAGAAATCCATTGAAAGATCTTTGCCAAAACCCCTCAGATCTTTAAGAAGCCGTTCCAATCGAGCAAGTTACAGTGAGACGGGCTTGCTCCACTTCTCTTCTGCACACGAGCGCCCAAACCAAACCAAGCCGCCGGTCTCTGGAGGCGCTCCGAGAGCGAGGGAGAAGCAGCGGCGAGAACCGCGCGGATAACGGGAGAGCTGCCCTGCCCACCGCGCTCGCACGGCTCCGGGCACACGGGGCGGGCTCGGCCCCGGGCTCCGGGGGGACGGCCCCGCTTTCCCCGGCGGGGCGGGGACGGAGCCGGGCAGCCCCGCTCTCCGTGCGGGGCGCGCCGGGGGCGGGAGAGAGCCCGCGGAGCCCGGGGCGGGAGAGAGCCCGCAACCGCACCTGGGCAGGAGAGAGAGCCCGCAACAGCACCTGGGGCGGGAGAGAGCCCGCAACCGCACCTGGGGCAGGACAGAGCCCGCATCCGCACCTGGGGAGGAGAGAGAGCCCGCATCCGCACCTGGGCGGGAGAGAGAGCCCGCAACAGCACCTGGGGCGGGAGAGAGCCCGCAACCGCACCTGGGGAGGAGAGAGAGCCCGCAACCGCACCTGGGGCAGGACAGAGCCCGCAACCGCACCTGGGGCAGGACAGAGCCCGCAACAGCACCTGGGGAGGAGAGAGAGCCCGCAACCGCACCTGGGGCAGGAGAGAGACCACATCCGCACCTGGGGTGGAGAGAGAGCCCGCACCCGCACCTGGGGAGGAGAGAGATCTCGCATCTGCACCTGAGGGAGGAGAGAGCCCGGATCCACACCTGGGGCAGGAAAGAGAGCCCGCAACCACAGCTGGAGCAGGACAGAGCCCGCATCCGCACCTGGCGCGGGAGCGTAGCCCCGCATCCGCAGTTGGGGCAGGAGAGAGATCCCGCATCCGCACCTGGGGCAGGACAGAGCCCACATTCGCGCTGGGCAGCGCCCGCAGCCGCCCTGCTCCGTCTCCAGCATGAGCGGCCGCGCCGGGGGAGCCGCGGGGCTCTGCCCCGGCCACGGTGAGCAGCGGGCGGGGATGGGGAAACCCGCTCCGGGAGCGGCTGTTCCCGGGGAGAGCCCCTCGGCAGCGCGGGGGTGATGCGGGCGGGGATGCGGCTGCGGTGCCGGGTGTCACCCACCCCGTGTCCCCCGGGTGCGGTGCCGGACATCCCCCGGGTTCGGTGCTCTGTGTCCCCCGGGTGCTGTGCTGAGTGTCCCCCCAGGGTGCGGTACCCCGTATCCCCCACCATGTGCGATGCTCTGTGTCCCCCGGGTGCGGTGCCCGGTGTCCCACACCATGTGCGGTGCTCTGTGTCCCCTCGTGTGCAGTGCTCTGTGTCCCCCACCATGTGCGGTGCTCTGTGTCCCCCGTGTGCGGTGCCCGGTGTCCCCTCGTGTGCCGTGCCCGTGTCCCCCGTGTGCCGTGCCCGGTGTCCCGCGGGTTCGGGCAGAGCCCCGGGCGCTGGCAGGGAGCGGGGATGAGCGGGGATGAGCGGGGATGGGGATGGGCCTGCCCAGCGGAGCGCTGGAATGGGCAGCACCGAGCCGCGGGAGGAAGGGGAGCGAGGATGGCACAGGGCAGGAGCCCCTGGCACGGGGCACCGCCGGGAGGGGAGGCTCGGCGGGCTCTGCACGGGTGGCAAACCTCGCTTAAGCGAGCACGAATGGCTGTCCCCGGAGGGTTGTGGCGCTTGGGGACACGGTTCAGGGTGGCCTTGGCGGTGCTGGGGAGCGGCTGCAGCCGAGCACCTCAGAGGGGTTTTCCAGCCTGAACAATTGTGCGATTCTGTGGGGAAGAAGGTGTTTTCCAGGACTGGGCAGCTCTGTGCCAGGGTCCAGAGTGCAAAGGCTCGGCTCACGCTGGGCTCCCCCAGCTCTGCCTCCCTTCCGAGCTCGTGGCGCTGAGGCTGGAGCATTTCCTTGCTGCTGGAGCTTGCTCGGAACCACTCCGGGGTGAGGGAGGCTCCAGGAGTCCTGCCCAAGGCCGGTGCTTTGATCCAGGTGCTGGGAGTGCAGCCGGTTTGTGGCTCCCACTCGGGCACAGACAGAGCTGTGTCACTTGTGTCACTCCCTCAAGCCCTGGGCATCTCCCGTGGCTCCAAAACAAACTTCACCCTCAGAAACTTGATAGAAGGGTGAGTAACTAAAACATTACCCAGCTGCAAGTTTGTGCTGCTTGAGGGCATTGAGGAAGGAGCCAAGCCCTGGTTTGCCAGCTTCAGAGCCTGGCGTGTGCCCTGAAATGTGTGATGCCATCGTGACTTCATTTCTTCTTAAAACCAAAATACTTTCCTTTGGATGGGAATATTGCCCGGTGTTTCTTGAAGGAGGAGGATTTTTCTCTGTCCCCTTTTACTGAGTTGGGTGGTTTTGCTTGGCAAAGGCAGGGTGGGGCTTTTTAGGAGATCGTTTGGATTTTGTGCGTGTAGCAGAGGGTGCTGATGGCCTGGCTGAGGTCACTGTCCAGGGGTGTGCAGCAGGTGTGCCCAGGTAACAGGGAGCATTCCCACCAGGAATGGGGACTGCTGAGATGGGCTGGGAGCAGCAGCACCTTCCTCTCCTCTGAGATCTTCCTCTGCCTCTTCCCTGACCTTGGCTCTGGCAGTGCTGTCCAACAACGCCGTTAAAAAACAAACATGAGTCAGGCTGGGTTTGCTGAGGTAATAACTCCTTCCACACCAAGGTGTGTTTGTCTTATTTCCTCAAGCAGGCTCTGTCTGGGGACAGACAGAAATAGTTGAGTTTGCCCGGGACTTTGTAAACACTGATTTAAAAGTAAGAGTGCTCTACTGAGCCTGTTGGCTCATTCTAGGAAGTCTCCAAATCGAACATTCAGCTCCTCTGTGCCAACTGTGCTCCTGCGAGTGCCAGCAGTGCTCCTGCCTCTCCCCCTCCTCCTCATCTCCATCCTCTGGAGCCAGCTGGCATGCCTCGAGTTTTCCACGTTTGCTCCCCTTTTCCAGGTATTCCAGGAAGTCCCGGGCAGGACAAAGAGCAAGGGACAGGTGCCAGCCAGCACGGGCTGAGCCCTTGGGGCTGGAAATCCCTGGAGCCTGTGGAAGGAGCTTCCAGGGGAACTCAGGGGAGACGCAGCTGGATGTGGGGTGGAGGATGCAGGAACCTGGTGGGAGTGGGGCTGAAGAGGAGCTGGGAATTTGAGGACAGCTCTGTCCTGCTTTCCACTCTCCTCTGCTCCTGCAGACAAGGAGGGGACAAGGTGAGGAGCCCAGTGTCCCCCGTGGGGACAGAGCCCCTGTGGGCTGTGCTTGCTGCAGGAGCAGTGGGAGGGGGTGGCAGGAGTGCCAGGAGGGGGTGAGAGGCAGCACCTTGCCCTGCACATCCCACGGTGACACTGGAGATGCTCCCTGAGCGTGTTTGAGGGAAGAGCAGGAGAGAGCCCCCCCCAAGACCTGCTGCTGTGCAGGGAGGGGAGGCAGGATTGCCCCCGGGTGGGTTTGTTCACAGAGGGAAAATGGAAATAATCTGTCATTCCACTGAGGAGCCCCCCTGGCTTCAGCTGCCTGGGGATCCACAAGGACTCGGGCTGGGTCGGGTTGGATCAGCAGGAATTTCCCCATGGGAAGGGTGCCCAGGCACTGGAACTGCCCAGGGAGGCTTGGAGAGCCCATCCCCGGAGGTGTCACCTGGAGATGTCACTGGGGGCTCTGGGCTGGGGACAGGGTGGGGATGGGCACAGCTGGCACTGGATGGGCTGGGAGGGCTTTTCCAAATGATTCTGGGATTCTGTGGCTGCAGTGAATGTTGGTGTCAATCCTGAGAACACCGTAGCTAAAATCTGGGGGGACAGTACCAAGTTCTGGGGTTAAAGGAAATCTCTCTTGGGAACACTTCTAATCAAAATCCACTTAGGGCTTCCCTGCCCATTTGCAGAGCAAGGCACTGATGAGTGTCAGGTTAGAGATGTCCCCTGTTCTGACCTTGTCATTCCTGTCCCTCATTCCTTAGGGAGTCTCTGAAAAAACCTCTTTCTAAAAAGAGCAATACCCGATTAAATGGCGCCAATGTTTCTTTGTAAACCCGGCGATCCCTGAGGAAGCAGAGTGTGAAGAGCTCACTGTGGTGCAGTTTATGGGAAAGGGGGGAAAATGCTTCATGGCTTTTGCATGTAACTCCTCGCACTTCTGTTTCCTGGCATTCCCTGGTGCATTTTTTGTGGGACTACCTTTATAACATTATTATTTGTCAGGGAGACATTTCCTTTGCCTCAGCTGGGGCAGAGGGATGATCCATGTTCTCGTTCCCTCAGCTAACGCCAATCCAAGCCCAGGATTTGCAAGGCAGCCGACTTTAATCTGGCCTTGCTGTGTAATTCCATTAGACTCATTTCTATTAGAGCCCATAATGTGATCCAGGCCCCCTCAGCCCCGGGGAGTGGCTGCAGGGAGAGACACAGGGCCTGGGGGAGAGCAAACTGCTCTGCAGGAGCACACACGGAGCTTGGGCAATTTGATGTGATTAGGGAAACAATTAGAGAAGATCGCTGGAGGTGCAGTGCCCTGGGGCTCCTGAGGAGATGCTGCTGGGTGCCAGCTGCTCTGGAGAGTCACCCTGGCCACAGGGTCCTGTCCCCAGCCTGGCACGGGGAGATGGGCGTGAAAAGCCCCTCTCAGCCCCTCTCTGGGTGATGTTGGATGATTTTGCCCTGTCCTGTTTCTGTCCTGGCTGGTTTTGCAGCAGGAGGGTTTGGTTATTCCCAGCTGGTTTTGCAGAGCAGTGCCTGGGTTTGGCTGGCAGCAGGGGCTGGAGCTGTTCCTGCACCAGGCAGAGCAGGGAGATCATTCTGCTGCTCTGGCTCTGTGTTTCCCCGAGCTGAGGCAGCAGTGCAGAGCCCTGCCTTCAGGGAATCTCATCCCCACTCCTCCCCTGCCCTCATCTGCAAAGGCTCTCACCCACAGGTTTGTTTGGCATCAGGGAGCTTTGCTCAGAGCCAGCACCTCAGAGAATGGGGTCTGGGAGATCCATCCCATCAATCTCATCCTGATCCCATCCCATCAATCCCATCCCAATCCCATCCCAATCCCATCCCAATCCCATCCCATCCCAGCTGCAGCCAGGCTCCCCTGCCCAGCCCAGCCCCCAAACCCTCTCCTCTCTGCTCTCTGTGCTGTGCCCAAACCTGCCCGAGGCTTCCACCTTGGTGCTTGGGGGTCCTGAAAAGCACAAAAATCCCACATCATCCCTGCCAGCAGCTGAGGTGCTCTCAGAGCACCCATGGAAGGCCCAACCCCGTTCCCCAGGTGCAGAAGGGGTGCTCTGGCCTCGTGAATGCCCATTTTGGGGTGTGCCAGGGCTGCTGTTCCATCGGGAATGTCACAATTAAACCTTCCTCAGAGGTCTCCCCGAGAGGACTCGAGGGGTGCAGCTGCAGCTCAGCATCCAGCACAGGAGCTCCTCCCTGCTCATCACCCCAGAGGATGTTCTGAGGTGTCCTGGCTCTTCTGGGGCTCCTCAGCTCAGCCACAGGGGCTGGGCTGGGCCCTGGTGGGGAAATGATTGAGGGGAGAGCCAGGCTGGATCCACAGGGACCAGAAGAGCTTGAGGAGGATGTTTGGGGTGATCTGGCTCTTTATGGCTGCTCTGACATCCCTGAGGCCAAGGCTGCCCCCATTGAAGCCCCTCTCAGAGCTCTGTCTGGCAGAACTCAAGGCTGCAGCTGATTTTAGATTTGCCAAGGCAGTGGAACATGTTTTTCCTTCATGGGCCCTCCATGGGATTGTTACAAAAACATGTTTTCCCTAACAGGAGAAACTGCCAAGCAGAATTTTTATCATTCAGCAGAGAAGGGCAAAAGGGAAATAAAATAGAAACCCAAACCCAGTCAACACTGTCCCCAGAAAAAGAAGGGAAAGTTGCAGCAATGAATATAAATTAGGAATTAGAACATGTAGGTGTCTGATAAGGGAGGCCAAAGGAATCTGTGAAATAGCAATGAGCAGGGGGTGAAGGATGAAGGCAAAGCATCTTCCAAGAACAGCAAGAACCACCAGAATGTTGTGTC